GGAGGAGGAGGAGGAGAAAAAAGAGGGAGGGGGGAGGGGGGGAGAGGGGGGCGGAGGAGGAGGGGGAGGAGGAAATAATCATGCTCTCTGCCCTTTTTGTTCTAGAACCCTCTTCTCTGGCCATTGGACAGAACTCCAGGAATGACACCAGTGTTCCCTCATCACACTCAGGTTTTCAGACCGTCTACCTCAGACCTGTTTCTCTGGTCCTGAAGACTTCAGAGTTGGGTGGAGCCTTGTGGTTGGCATCCAAGGGGCCCCAGCCTGCACCCTGTTACCTCCTAACGCCTGTATTCATGGGACCAATTCCCCTAATGATTCCACATGGCCCTCACAAGGCCACTCAGCTGACAAGTGATACCCTTTGGAGTCCCGAATGTGGGGCAGCTGTCATATGCTGCTAATTCAGTGCTCCAGCTCTTCTGCCCCCCTCCTCACCTGAGTCTACACATAACTTCGTAGAACACAATCTGCTATGGTGTTTCCCCCAAATATGTTCCATGGCACTTATCAAAGTTCTAAGTAAAAGGTTCCCCAGCTTTCCTTGAGCATTGAGCACAGATCCTGGTACCCAGTTCAGGGGCAACCAGCCTTAGCTTTAGTAGTAATCATTGATGTTAGGATAGAACTACAGTTTAGGTCTTGGCTTTCTCACCCAGCCTGGTTTAGGACTAGTCGACATCATCACGGCAGATGTTTTGCCAGACGGAATACATGGAGAGAACCAGGCAGGGATGGGCACAGCATCATGATCTCCTCACCTCACATCTTTGAGAAAGGAAGCCAGGAATGATGGGAGCAAGTGAAGGCTCATCAAGGAGTGCATCAATTAATTGGCTGAGGGAATTAGGGGGGTCCTTATGGGGCAGGTGGTGGTCATTAGAGTCCTTAGAGGTGGGATGGAGGCATCCTGGACAACTTCTTCTCTTCTAGAATTTTCCCAAAGAGCTTGGCTGCCTCCAGGGCACAACCCCAGTGAATGGTGAGCCCGTAACCTCCATGACCATAGTTATGGATAACCTGGGAGAAGCAAGAGAGAAGGTGGCCAGCTGTGGGAGGGACTGCAGGAGGGGGCCAGAGAGCTTTGCTACCTTGGAAGACCAGGAACTTTCTAAAGAGTCCTGGATAAACCAGATGCTGTGAGCCCCCATCAATGGGTTGGTGGGCTTGGTTCCCGGGAACAGCATAAAGGGAACTGTTTGTGGAGATGGAAGATGACACCTTAGGCCTTGACAGTCTGCTTAAAAGATGAGCCTGCTTTGTCCACTGGCACAGGAAATGTAGTACCATGAGACCTTGAGGTCAGAGATTTCCTCTGCACCAAATTACTTGAAGTCCCTTTGGCTGTCATTTTCCACAGGTGCACAACTTTGTAGAGAGACACAAAACCCCTTCAAACATACACACAACCATCTGTATACACACACCTACACTTCTGACCCTCTTTTACATGCCCACAGCCACGCCCTGCACACACAAACGCCTGCCTGGGATAAGGGAAGATGACCTCAGGAAAGACGATGCTTTCAGGCCACACCCATTCAGCCCAGAAAAACCTATGGATTCAATGAGCCCAGTTCCTAGCCCAGGAGAGGGGACCCAAGGGAGCCTCTGGAAAGATCAGGCACAACCACAAAATGAACATCTGAGAAATGGTTTTAAAGTCAAGTTTAAATCATATCCAAATCCTGCCCCTCATCAGGGACTCAGGCAAGTGACACCACCCTGCGGGGCTCCAGTTTCTTCATTGGAATCATGGCGGGAACTGTCCCTATGTCAAAGAACTTCGAGGGAGCCTCGGGAAGGACATTCATGTTATAGGCTTGCCCTGCTGTCTGGTATAAAGTACCATTTCCCTCTATCAGATTTTGAAAAAATATTTTATTATTTTTATGTGTATGCGTGTATTGCCTGCATGTACGTTAGCACATTCATGTCATGCAATGCCCAGGGAGACAGAATAGGGCATCGGATTCCCCTACAATGGGAGTTAAAGATAGTTGTTAGCCACTATGTGGGTGCCGGGAATCGAACTTGGGTCATCTGCAAGAGCAGCCAGTGTTCTTAACTGCTGAGCCATCTCTCCAGCCTATCAGATTTTAACACTCTGTAACTAGACACAGGTCCTTTCCCACCACTGAGTCTCAATATCTCCATCCGTGGGGGGTGTTGGCCACCACTGGCCCTGATCTTAGGCTGAGTGGACTTTTCCCTGGAAATGGCAGCACTGTCGTAGGAGTCCACAACATACCTCTGTGCTTGAAGATCCAGCATGAAGCCGTTCTCTTTCTAGTCGGATCTGAGGACGGACTGGCCGGAAGCCCGTACATTCACCAACAATCCTTGCATTCTGGAAAGTAAAATGCTAGCAACTTACTTGGATTGATTTTCCTGCTGTCATTCCAGGGGGCCAGGAGTTAGCTTTTAGAATCTCATCATCATTATCACTGACCCCTTCATCACTTCTGCAAGTTACCACATTCTTTTAAAAGTTATCTGTGTGTGCGTGTGTGTGCGCACATGTGAGTGTGTGTGTGTGTGTGTGTGTTTGCATGTGTGGATACAGGTGCACACATACCACGGCGTGCCTCTGGAGGTCAGAGGACAACCTTGGATATTGATCCTCACCTTCCACCTTGAGGCAGAGTCTCTTATTCGCTGCTATGTATGCAAGGCTCTGAGAATTCCTGTCTCCACCTTCTATACCACAGTAGGATGCTAGGATTATAGACATGCACTACTGCACTCAACTTCACATGGGCTCTAGGGATCTGAACTCAGGTCCTCATTCTTATGTGACAAGTGCTTTACCCACTGAGCCACTCCCTAGCCCAGCTGCCACATTATTTACCAGCAGCACTACCACCTCACACCACTGTCTATATCACCACCACCATCTCTATTAACCATTTTCCTGGTGGCATTAACAGCTCCTACCACATTCCATCCCCATCCCTGCTCTGTCATCAACCCCAAACACCACCTCCATCCACCCTCAACACCATCACCATGAGAAGACAAATGTGAAAGTGGGAACTTAGGCATCAAGGACATCTCCTCCCTGTGGAGACGCACTAAGTTGTTTTGGAGATGTCACCTTGGGAGGACATTCTCAGCCAGGGCAAGTTAGGCTTCATTAGCCCATTGGCAAAGACTTCTCTCTCCACTGTCAAATGCTGGTGTGCACACAGGTCCCTTGCTGGGATTAACTTAGCCAGGTATCCCAATGGGCATATCCTCCTATCATGACCAAGCTGCCAGGTCTAGAGCACTGACACCCATCCCCACCTTACCTTCAGGTTGGGCTCCAGTTTGCAGCAGCCCTTCCAAATGGTGGTGTGGTCGTGAACACTGTTCACTTCACTCCAGTTCCCCAGCTGGAAGATGCCGCCAAGAGTAACCGCCTTGACTCTAGACAAAAAGAGGAGGACTGAGGAAAGAGAAACCTTGCATATGAAGGCTTCTTTCCCCTCCCTCTCCCCGACTAGCATCTCCAGCGTCACCGCTCCCATTGGCATCATAGTCACTGATGAACACACATCCTTCACACAACTGCTATTGCCATCCTCCACCACTTCCACCCCCACCACCACATCACAAATACTGTCACCTCACTACAAGCAGCAGCGTCAGAAACACCAACCCTGTCACCATTTCTACCACCAGCAGCAGCGTGACCATGACACTGCCATCTCTACCATACCACCTACACAGCCATGAGGCAAGCAGGGCAGCCACACCATCCACACTGCCTCCGAGACCACCATCTACCACATTATAAATGCCATGGACAGTGTTACCTTCATCAGCACCAACTGCCATTTCCACTCCACCACCATCATCACCACCATCAGCAATGCTGGCCTTCTTAACACCACCCACCTACATCACTCACATTAACATCACCACTGTACCATTCCTATGCTTTCATGGGAATTTCATTGCTCAAATCCATTTATAAAACCCTGGGAGAGGGGGCTGGGGACATGGCTCAGTGGTTAAGAACACTGGCTGCTCTTGCAGAGGACTCAAGTTTGAGTCCCAGCACCCACATGGTGGCTAATAAGCATCTGTAACTCCAGCTCCAGGGGATCTGACACCCTCTTCTTACCTCTGCAGGCGTTACATGACACAGGCGCACTTACATGCATGCAGGCATTGTACTCATACACATAAAAATAATAATAAATATTTTAGAAACCCTGGGAGAAAAACACTGCAGGAACTGGGCGATGGATTTAGGCAGACAGTTGGCACATTAAGAGGGCATGAAGGTGTCTCTTCTTCTGCCCTAGAGCAGTCAGAGTTTTACCCTGGGATGATGTACGGGGACTTGTAGATGCCAAGTTCTGGGTCATGGGTGATGATAAAGTGCTTCATCCACGGGGCCTCCACCTGTTGATTCAGACAGACGCATCCTGTCAGGGAGCTGGGTCAACCGGCTCCCCTTTACCTGGCTCTCCTCTATGGCCAGAAGTTCCACCAAGAGAGGCAAAGCCTCTCATTCCCTAGCCCTCTCATGACCCCTCTGACCTAAGACACCCAGGACTGCACCTTTATTACTTGCTTTTATAGGAAGGCCATCTGACTGACAGTTTCCCTTGTGGGTAAGTATCCCACAGCCTTACCATGAGTCCACAGAAAAGCCTTAGCTCAGGAATAAACACACACACTCTTTAGCCTACATCAGGAACACACAACCTTGCACACCTATGAATACATACATGCACACGTGTTCCCACACATCATGAGAGGCATAGGATGATAGTGACACCCACAGGCTCTTAAACCAGCTTGCCTGGGCTTTAATCCCAGTCCCACCATTTACTTTGTGCAAGTTTGTGCATATTACTTGACACCTCTGTGCCTTGGATTCCTCCTCTGTAAGATGACTGTGTGTATGATAGTACCCATCTCAAAAGGCTGTGATAAGGGATAAACTGTCAACTCAATAAAATGCTTTGCCTGTGTCTGGTGCTTTGTAAACTCCATAAGGGATTGCTACTTTTTTTAAAAAATTGTGATTACAGCTGGGTGTGGTGGTGCACGCCTTTAATCCCAGCACTTGGGAGGCAGAGGCAGGCGGATCTTTGTGAGTTTGAGGCCAGCCTGGTCTACATAGTGAGTTCCAGGACAGCTGGGGCTACAGGGAGACCCTGTCTCAAAAAAATAAAAGACAAAAAAATATTGTGATTACATTTGTTGACTTTGTGTGTGTGTGTGTGTGTGTGTGTCTGTGTGTCTGTGTGTCTGTGTGTCTGCGGTATGCACATGCAAAGGTGTGCATGTGGAGGTCAAAGGACAACTTTTGGAAGTCAATTTTTTCCTTCTACTATGTGGGTCCTAGGATCAAACTCGGGGTGTCAGGCTTGGAGACAGGTGCCTTTACCTGATGAGCCATTTTGGTGGCCCTGGATTTGCTATTCTTCTCATAACACAGGCTACTGCTCCCACACAGGGCAAACATCTCCACACATGCTTTACTATCAAGAAGAAATCCCCAAACAGAGCATTTGGGGTACAGGGCAGTAGATAGACCTTCTTATTTATTCAACATGTCAGTTCCCCAAAGTCTAGGGTCACTCTGTCGATGTGACTGTCCATAAGCTTTGGAGCTGCAAGAGCCTGCAGCACAGTCTTCCCACCAGTCAGCATGCTCACCTGAATGATCTGGCCCCGGCCTGGCTGCAGCAGGGCATCTGGCTGTAGTGTCCCAGCCCATACCCCAGTGCAGTTAATGATCACATCAGCACCTCCTCTTGCCACCTGGCAGCAAGAACAGGTCAGGGGATAGGAAGGAATGAGAACTGTGCTGTGCCCTGCCCCCTTCCTCTAGCCTTACTCTACATCTGTCTGCTCCCTGGGGAGCTAGAATGAGGGGTACTGAGGAGCAGATCCAATGACCCTGGTACCAAATATCCACTCTGACCTTGGCTCAGTGTTTGACCCCAGAAATGCCCCTTTAGCTCCTTGGGGCTCAACTGCTCCCATTTCACAATAATTTTCTAGTAGAGCCAGTAATGTTTTCAGGCTGCTATGAGGTCGCAACTCTGAAGAAGTGATGGTCCATGAGTACTGTGGAGGGAGAACCTTCCTGAAACCTTAGGAAATGTTCAGATGAAGCCAAGATGGTCCTGTCCTGCCTCTGACCCCTTTTCAGTCCATCCTTTAGCCTCTCTCTGCCAGAATGCTTGCTTCAGCTCTGCCTCTACCTGGGACACTTGTCAAGTCAGAGACACAGCGAGCACCACTATTCCTAGCCCAGCCCCTCTGACTCCCCTCCCAAGGCAATCATGAACACACATATTTCAAATGTGCCCTTTGTGTGAGCCAGTGCTTGTAAACAAGCACCGTTTCGGAGTCAACCAAAGATTTCAGGTGTCTATGGGGGCCCAGCCCCAAGCAGCTGGATGCTGGCAGCTAGCTTGCTGAGCTCTCCATGCACCAAGCATTATTCTGAGTGCTGGGATTAAATGAAGCCCACAGCCAAGCTGTTAGAACATGAGTGCTGCCTGATGGTGGCGCTGCTCCCATAACTGCTCATGGTGATGGAGTGCCTGTGACTGGTCCCAGCTGAGTGCCTGGACATTCCAGAACTGTCAACCCAGATGTGAGCAGGAAGCATGGAAGGATCTGAGGACACTAGGGAAAAGTGTCTCTGGCCCTAAAGTAAACTAGGTTCATACACATGTAACTAGTCCCTCTGACCACTGTCCCTTTGTTCTTGCCACCAAGGTGAAGGCAAACACCTCCTCCCTTCATCATGGCCTCCTGGATTGAGACAAGGCTTCGAGTCTGGGACAGGTCTTAAAGGGATCCTGAGAACCTGAGAACAGAGCCTCCACCCAGCAGCAGGAAGCAGATCCTCTCCCCTCCCTCCCTTCCACAGCCAACCCCTCACACCCTGCAGCTCACCTCCTCTAAAGATTCCACCTTCCGCTGGAAGAGCTCCACTCCCCTCTCAGCTAACCTAGGAAAATGAGACACAGCAGGAAGGTCTAGAATTTACTTCTCTGCCCCATCCCTCCTAGAGGGCAACACAGGGAATAGCCCTGTGGACATTAGCCCCATTGGATGCTCCTGTGTAGTCAATCAGCTTATGAGCACCTTGCTGGACCAGTGGTCCACAAAGCATCCCTTGGGCAAAAAGGCCCTCTGGGATGGTCCTTACCATTCATTGAGCAGATAGAGATGGGTTTTCCTGAAGCTCACAGAGTGAGCAGTGTGCCGAGGATCTGGGACACAAACACGGCTCCCTTCTCTCTTTCACGTTCTGCTTCTCCATGATGCTTTGTAATATACAGGGGATGGGAGATTTAGTGAGAAGGGGCAGGGTTGGATCAATGCCAAAGGTGCCTTTGTCAGAGCCGGTCTTCCAAGGGAGCTGGTCTGGGGACACCTATCCCTGTCTTTGAATATCTCAGAGTAGGGCTAAGGATGTGGTTCAGAGTATCTGCCTGGCCTGAATGAGGCCCTGGGTTCAATTCTCAGCACTTCAAAACAAAACAAACATTCAAAAAAAAAATCTGTCACTTTGGAAATTTAGCAAAAACATAAAGAGAAAAAGAAACCACATGTAAGCTGAAGCTATTTTAACTCATTCATTTCAACAGCATAATTATTTCAGAGCTATTTTAATTATGTAATTCTTTATGGCAGATCTGAGACTTTCTGCTGGAAGAGGCTAGTCAGGAATCTTAAATGTCCTAAGGATATGTGTAATAATACTGTCAGTACAATGGGTGGGTGTGTAGTAATTTGCAAGGAATTGAAACATTCCTTCCAGGAAGGAGGGAGATAATTCATGAGACTCAGAAAGTAAAGAATTTCTCCTGTCTGGGAAAGCTGAAACTCAAGAGATTGCTGAGGGCCCCTCTCCAAGGTTACAGAAACAGTAAGCAGCTGTTGGGGACCTTTGGCCCTGGAGCTGCAGAGAGGAGAATCTCAGACCAGTGGTGCTACCTATAAACTGTGCAGAGAGCTCCAGGGATGCCACTTTCCTGAGTCCTCACCTGTGTTGGGGTGGGCTTTTCACGGATGCAGCTGTTTTTGAGTCATTTCTGCTCCTGTAAGTAATCCCTCACCCACACTTCTGTTATTAACCCCAATTAACTCATTGGTTCACCAAGCTGGACTTCACGGTCTGTTGTGGGTTCCCTATCTGGAATCAGTAAACCTGTGTGTGTGAATGTGTGTGTGTGTGTGTGTGTGTGTGTGTGTGT